TTTTTATCAAAAAAAATATTTATTTTTTATATTTTATCGTATCACTACTATTAATTATTTCATATTTTTGAATATCATATTCAAAGGTCTTAACATATTTTAGCGATATATAGTTATTTACAAATAAAAATATTTTATTTTCTATCTTTTCTATTAATTCCATACATCCATCTCAATATTTTTATCTCGATATCATAAATATTATATATATATATATATATATATATATATAACTATTCAATACTCAAATCTTAAGTCTTATTGGTCTCATAATTATCTTATAATTTTTTTTTTAATCTCAAAGTATCCGATGATCATATAAGACGTAACCTTATATTAATAGGAAACTCATTAGACATACTGCATATAGTTTTAACACTAGTAGCTATATTATCATATATATCTTTGGTTGGTAGTATTAATACGATTAGTAGACACATATTTTTTTTATAAAATTTACTATAATAAATTTATAGGAACCCTATTATATACTTTCTCTAATTTAATAAAAATCATATGCAAATCTTTCTTATATATAGATATATAATATTTAATATCTTAATAAATAAATAGCTTGTGTGGTTAATCTTTTAAGTATAAAATCAAATTAATTTCTAAAGAAATTAGGTAAGATATATTATAAAATTGATCAATATAATTTATTTAATTAGGTAAGATATATTATATATTAAATTAAAATTTGATGATAGTTATCGATTAATAGAAAGGACATTCAATAATAATAAAATTTCTTATGAGATTATCTTGATGAGAAGGACTATCCTAATTATCATCCTAGACCCGCTCTCACGTATAGAAAGACATGACCTCCTAGGGATGATATGCCAGCTATTGATATTGTAGATATTATTAATCTCTCTTAGTCTTTAATTTATCGCTCATAATAATAATATAAATAATAGAAAGAAAGAAAAAGTCGAGTCTAGTTCTCCTTGTATATTAATATTACTGTGGCTTTCGGATTTGACGACAATATGCTTGTAAATCAAATAAATGTTTTCTAGTTGACATTAAAAGATATGCATAGTAAATATGATTTTAATTTCTGAATGCTTACATATATATATAAGATGAATTTCTATTAGAACGATTAAGTGAATGGATTTTTTTATCAGGAAAGTGGAAGCTTCTACCAAGAAGAGGATCGAGGCAACAAAATTATTGTTACAAACTTGCTCAAGAATTCAAAAGCTTCCCATCAGCTAAGGATTTTTTTAAAATAATTTTTAAAAAAAATTGAGAATATAGGATTGGAATTTAAAATCTTACGAATACCCTTAAAATTTTGACTAGCCATTAGCTAGCTAACAATAATAACAAAGGGTAAGGATCTTGTTTTGCTACTGTTGAATCTTTACAAGAGTGATGAATCTCCCACACAACTTAGCACGCTTTTGCTATTTTTCTACATGAGTGATAGAGGAGGAAATCAATGTTGTAAGCCCCTACAACATTATCCATCAAATTTAAAATCTATTTTTGTTACTGTTTATGCATCCAAGATGAACTTACTAAGATATGACATTTCGAAACCATTATAGATGAGGAGGACAATATTACTATGAGCATTCCACATTTAGATTTTCTATTGCAAATCTTCATGTCCGGCATGTGGTGTGTATGTTGTAATACATTATACTAAGAAGCTGTCGAAACCAGTGATATCTATTATTTACATGCATCATATTCTCCATCAGCTTCTGGTATTTACACTAATCAAAAGTTCATGCGATCAGATTTCGGGTTTCGGCAATAAACAACACGCAAATTTCTTTCTGCATGATTTACTCATGACATCATATATCGCTTCATGTATCGATGTGAATCTTCCATGAAATATTGCCTGATACGAAGGTGTCTTGGCAGCATGTCATGTTTTATCATTTTCAATGCCTCCACGCTGAGTCTCCACTGACAGGGAATCACTTTTGTTGTCTGATGCCCACTATTTTGATGCTTCAGAGCTTCATGAATCTTCCTTCCATCACAGTTGATAGTTAATGTAAAATGGACAATAATTTCCAATAATAATTGCTTTTGCATTTTACCAAACCCATTTTCCTTTAGAGAATCTTGTTTTCTTTTTCTTCTTTTTAGATGTGCAACTTTTTCTGCATCATATGAGCCAGCCTTTATTGCATCCCTAAGCTGGATGGACAAACAAATACACATACATGCCTATGAGATGGTTTAACTAAGATTATGGCATAAAAAATAATATCCCAATTTCTACCCACTTTATTGCCTTGATAAATAATCTCACGCTTGTTTCATCTAAAGCAGTCAAATTAGCAGAAGAGAAGGAAGGCATGCATGCATGCTTTGTGTGATGTCCATTTCTCTAGTACCAGAGATTAGTATCCCACTAGTAAGTTTATGGCAGCCAAGCATGTCAATAAGTATAGGGGTAGAATGGATTCGAGACATTATTAGTCTTGGTGTTGCGCAACCTACTGATGAGAAGAAGGATATTAAAGCTCACGTGAAGGGTGATGGCACGTACATCCTTGTGCTCCTTAAATCATGGAGCCTTTGTCTCTCAGGACACACCTCCCGTCGAGCATTATATCAATCGACCTGTGAGGAAAAAGGTGAGCATGGTCATCAATGAGCACGGCTGGGAAGACGCATCATGATGAGGAAGTTTCTGAGAATTAATAACAGCAGTAGGTGGTGAGATGCACTGCTGCTAGCGAAGACAGGTAGATATCAAATTCCCACCCATCGGTACCTGAATTAAAGAGAGAGAGAGTGAGAGTGAGAGTGATGAAGAGCCCACACATGCTTCGAGGTAATGAATGATATCTTCACGTTCCCTGGAGTCAAAGGAGATGCAGAGCAGGCCCCAGTTATCTATCTACCATTCTTCCTGGCCCCAGTTTTCTAGCTACCAATAAGACATAATTAACATCACCAAGATAGAGAGAGAGACAGAGAGAGAGGCAGCAGGGCTCCTCTTAATGAATCCCGGACCCAGCTACATCAAGACCGTAAAGTTGATGATGTGTCATGTCACACAGTAAGAAAAGAAGTGTTAGTGCTTCGGAAGGTGACAAAAGGCAATAATAATAATGCATAAGAAGAGCATAGGTTTGGTTCACATCATCTTAATATGGATGAAGCGGATTGGAAGGTTACATCTATCAGCTTAAGACAAAAGGGCATAGTGTTGTTACATCTATCAGCTTCATACAACCCGAATGGTTTCCACACCAATAAACAAGAAAAAGCACACATGACATGCTGATTGATACACGAGTTGTTGCAGACACCATAACAATCAGCTCCTTTCAAGAATGGAAGCAGCAGCACCATGCTAAAACTAGGAGGTGGAAGAAGCCCTCCGTCCCATCATCCCATCGGAGCTGGCGAGCCAGACCAAACCAGTCATCGAGGCAAGGAGGTGGAACTGCACTGTTCATGGAGCATTCTTCTATAAATGCTGCTATATTAAAAGACCACCGAACCATTATGACTCTATTTACAGGTAATCCCTGAATAATTAGCTTCTACAGACCTATCTTTCGTGGTCAGTCGGTCAGTGGGAATTCGTCGGTATCGACAATTCAATTCACTTCAAATCTTATATGGTATTAGCATCAGACTTCCACCTCCACATGACGTCATCGTCGTGTGACTTATTCAGAGCTGCGACCTTAGCGTGATGACCGCCGGCCACGGCGTTCTTCCCCCTCTCTCCTTGAGGTAGCTCCAAGGCTTCGCTGATGGACCCACGCTTCAAATCAGACGGAGGGATGAAACAATCCATGGAGAGTCCCGGGACATTGAAAGCCACCTCCTCTATGGTCCAAGCCTCCTCCATCCTGGTTTTCTTGTGGCTCAGGGCTGCTTCCCCAAACCGGAAAAGAGTGACGACCGAATGGCCGGAGTGAGCGATCATCGTACCCTCGACCGGGCGGTAATCATCGATGGAGGAGTCGATGGAGGTTTCCCAGTAGACCGCATCACCACCAGCACCGGACTGGATTCGAGTTAGATGCGAATCCTCGAGGTGGACGAGAAGCCCACTTCTCTGGCTAAAGTAACCAAATAAGACGTGCCTAATGACCTCCGCAGGTGTTTCGCTGTTTGCCTTGAGCGTCTGCGGGTCTGCACAGAGCTTGAGGATGAAGCAATCTTCCCCATCGACCTTCTTCTCCCCGATGCACCGTGCGTTGGTAAACATGCTCGCTGTGGTCAATGGATCGAGCCCCTACATACGGCAAACACCGAACCATCAAGCAACTAATACAGTAGAAACATGAAACAGGGTATGATGCTCTATCGATTGGCTCTATACCTGCAGAGCCCTGCGAAGGGGTCGGACAGGGCCCTTGGCAGCATGGGCGCCGAGCCATGGTGCGTGGCGCCAAACTAGTTCGCCATTGCAACCGGCATGGACCTTACTGCCACCGACAGCGAGCTCAATGTACCACATGTCAGGCGCCATCTGCCAGAGCACGAAGCCACCGGCCTCGGCATCCCTGGTTGCATTTCTGTACTTGATGACTCTGGTCGCCGTCTCAAATTCGGTCGCTAACATCTTCACCTTCCCCATCGCGTACGCGTTCCTGATGGAGCTCAACAACTTCAAACCTCCTGAAGCGGCGATGTACTGCTGCAGTATGTACTGCGCCGACGAAGTCTCCTGCCGCAACAAATCGACATAGAGAGT